AGGTTAAAAAGTATGCATTTTGATAGTTTGTTGAGATCTTGTATGAATCTTGAGCAATATCTGAACCATAATGGACATTCAGACATTATTGGTGATGACTTTTGTACGGAGTTATTAGTTTTGAAGTGCTATTTACCTAAAAAAACAAAAAGAGCTATTGATGTGCTAAATTACTTGAAGAAAATGGATGGTTGTTTTCCAAATGCTAGCACTGCTTACAAGATTTTGCTCACTATACCAGTTACAGTTGCATCAATAGAAAGAAGCTTCTCCAAGTTGAAATTGATCAAAACTTATCTCCGTTCAACTATGTCGCAAGAAAAATTAAATAGATTGGCCATGTTATCCATTGAAAAAGAAATGGTTGAACAACTTGACTATACAAAATTGATTGATATTTTTGCCTCAAAAACTGCAAGACGAGTTATATTTAAGTGATCGATTAGAACATCTTCGTATTGTTACTTGATTGCAAAATAAATATTTTGAATATTTTAGCTTTATTTGTTGCTTTATTGTTGAATTTAAGTTAACAAATGTAATTCCGTAATACTCTTTTAAAAGAAAAAGGGGATTGTCTTTTATGACTTGGGGGGCCCAAATTTTAAAGTTCGCCTCAGGCCTCGCGAAACACAGGTACAGCCCTGATTAGCTTCGCACCCACAATCCCCGTATGAAGCTCTGCAAGGGAATTTAACATTTCAATCCTGTCCCCAACAAAGCAAAACTTATTTGGTTTTGAATTTTATCCCTGACTGAACACGTCATGTTTGACAATGTTAAGTAATAAATCCAAAAAGGGGAATATTTGTGTTTATTATGTTTTTCTTAATAAAATTGACCTCCTAAGATGATACTTAAGTCTTGACATGATACCAAAAGTCCGTTAAACTTAAACGAACAATTTGATCTGATTAATATCTCAACAAGCACACAAATTTCAAGAATGATCAATTCAAACGAGACATTATCTTGCAGGACATGTTAATAAATAAATTTCACATATATTAGATACCAAAATATAGACGAGGATTTGTGTTACTTTTTTTTTTAAAAAAAGATTGACATTCTAGATGAAACCTCAAGTCTTAATAAACAATTCATGCTCAACAAACTTATTTCCCGGGTAGTTGCAACTTACCAAGAAATTGTAATAACTGGATGCCAAGATGATGGATAAAAAAAGTAGTGCAGCTTCTAATATTCTTTTAATTTTGTCTATTATTATGTATAAAACATGCATTAAGGACACGGTTCCATCAAACATCAACTGATTGCTACGAATTCCTTGTAGCAGTAAATCTTGGTGGGCTTTTCCCTTTAATCTAAACAAACCCGTCACCTACCAACAACCAACCAGGTAAGATGGAGAAGTTAAGAATAACAATGAAACCCAACATCGACGATGCAAAAGGATGATTTCAGCGCATTGAAAAACCCAACTGCATGAATTCCAGAAGTCTAAACAGCAGAATTTGAAGCTTAAACTTGACACACATTCTTTCGATTTTATTCTGATGATGCCACTCCAGTCAGTTCTGATGTCTAATTCGAATAATACCATCAATTTCAATACCTTATACCCGTACCAATATATTCTTAGGAATCAGCCGAACTTCCCAGAAACCTTGGTTCCAAGAGCATAGAGTTTTCTAAGCCATAAAGAGCAAATTTAAGAAATATACAAAGGTCCATCTTGCTAAAAGATATGACCTTCATTGTAACCAAAAGAAAATCCCAACATCTCCATTTGACGATAACAGGCATAAAAGATAAGTGCAGACAACTAAGTAAACAAAAACATAAACTTCCCTTTCGGTAGATCAATTACATATGAATACAATAATTAGTACAGAACCACCAGTCTAAAAGTTTCAAACACGCCCCTCAAATGCAAGTCAGTCTCATTACTTAACCAAGTTCTCAATTTTCATAATTGGGTAGCAACGAGACTTGATCCCATGACCTTTGCATACTTTAATACCATATTGATACACTTGTAAGTCCATGCCAAAAAAATTGGTAGTTTTTCAACTTCAGTAGTTTCTAGATGCCTAAATTTAATTTCCATATAAGGAGCACTACAAATTTCTATCAAGATGACAACATGAAGAGAGTCATACAAGGAAAAGGCTGCATGGTAAATTCGATCAAAACATTATATCAAAGCTTGAACCAGCATTTCAAATGCTGCAGGGCATAGACGATCATAAAATTATACAAACACTGCCAATTAGGCTGCATATAATGGAGCTAGTGTCTGATGACAAAACTATTTATATTATGGTCTATATCAAAAGTCATGTAGGAATGAAAAAAAAAAACTCCTCAATTACTTTAACAAGCTATAAGTACTGCACAATCATCATTAGGGCACAAACCTAATTCATTTCACAGATGCTGAATGCCCCTTTTATTTCAGTAATTGCTAATTTGTAAAAGCATGGTGAGGGGGGTTAAAAGGTACTTCTACTCCAAAAACTTATCAGCTGGCTTAGAGGAATATAGAAATAAACACTTCAACAATCAATAATCCTCCAAAAATAGAAGCCTGTAGAACATGTCACTTCTAAGTGGAGGCTATGTGAGATAATGTCAAATTATTATGAATTACTTTTACCAAAATCAACAAATCATCTTCCATAAAGGAGCCGAATGAAACCAAAGTTTCATATTCGGTTTTGAACTCTGATAAAACTGCACTTTCATGTTTGGTCTTATAACATTCATGCATTCTCTTTGCTCCAAGGGACTACACCTGTAAGGCATATTTAAAGGCAAGGCAGAAAAGAGACTTTCAAGTATGCCTGCTGAAGTGTTCAAAAGACAGATATGGGATTCAGTCAAGTGCCAGGTGCCCTATTGGTGGGTTTGCTGTCAAGAGCACTAAATTTGAAAACAAAATTGATCAATAGGAAGCTCGGAATATATAGACGAAGTTCATGCCACGACAACCTAACAAGAAGGCCAGTTCTATTGATGCATTCCTTTAGAGCAAGAATAAAGAAGGGAAGTGAGAGCCTCAGAAATTCCAGATCTATAATCACAGACCTGGAGATTTTTTAAGATCTTTTCTTTATTTCCTTTCTTGATTGAATAAAGAATATTAATAAACTTATTTTTTAAACCCTTCTCCCACGGAACAAAATATAAAAACATAGTAGTGCTGTTAAAGACTAGTTCAGCCAATATCATTTACTTGCACAAACAACAGTTATCGAACTTATAAATTTTTGACCTAGCAATTTCCAGAATATAAACCAAAACCATACTCCAAAGAGAACTATCAAAATTTATTAGTCGAATATATTTCTTTCACACCACTTGAAACCACAACAAGAACACTTATTTTACACTATATTATCACTCTTATCCTTCCTGATATACACTTATTTATGCATATTTCTCCAGAATCATGTCAAATAAATCTTATGACAATAATATCTTAGGAAAGAATCTCAAGAATGATGCAATCTAGATCACCATTGAGAAGTCCCTGGGGGTATCATGATTATCGAGTAGGGTTACATCTTAAAAGATTATTTTCATATATAATCTAAGTGGGATATTACCCTTAACAGTGATCCAAATGTCTAGAATCAGCCCAGTGGAAGAAAAGGGCATTGTGATTAATCATTCAAAACAGACAAAAATCGCTTGCATCAAAAAAAAAAATGCTATTTCACAAATTTTATGTTAAAAAGCCCATAACACAGAACCTCTGTTTTGTATTCCAGCACAAATACAAGGACAACAACATAAAAGCAATTATGCCGAAAAATCACCACCAGCCGTAGACCACCTGGAAGTACCTATTCTTAAGCCACCTGAAACTCTTCCTCAAAGATCCTTTGACTTTGCCTTCAACGGCGTAGACTTTGTAGCTAGCCACCCTCTTCTTCCTCTGGAACTCAGGATCATTGAAAGTCCAAGATTTTGAAGTTGACCCACTTGTGCTTTTGCCTTTCTTGAGCTTCCAGTCCTTCGGCGGTGGCGGACCTAGAGCCGCCGCCGGCACAGTTGGCCCCAGAGGAGACGGCGGCGCTACATAATAGTAAGAAGAAGAAGAAGCATATGGAGTACTGTATGACCTGAAATCATTAGGCCTGGCAGAGGGGCGTCCATAATAAGGCTCTATCTGCATTCTGTTATCATTATAGGTCTTTGATCTGTAATCCTCCATAGGTTTCTTGAAATTTTTCTTGATGGGATGGAGAAAGTTTGAGCTCGACTTCAAATTTTTTGGTATCAAATTTGTACAGAGGTCAAGCCAAACTAAACTGTCAGGTATATAATTTTGATTTTGAAATTCCTCTTTGTTGGTGGGATTGGATTCTAGATGCCGTTTAATATGGGAAATCAACTTGATACAGCACAATTTGGTTTGAATTTTTCAATTTTTATCCCCCTTTTTTAGACTTGCAAACAACTCCTTCGATGCACGAAAAGTAAGCATCATTTGGCAAATTTTATTAGGATTATTCTTGATGTACATAATAATTTGTACATAAGGGTATCTTTTCCCCCACATGAGGTAGAGAGAAGGGGAGGACACCCCTGTCTACACCAAATTATGTACATCAAACATGATCCATTTTATTATATTGAGAAATGGAGAGTTGAAAGGTTAAAGGTGTCAAATAAGACGGGGTATATTTTAAGGGTTTTGTTGACACTCCAGTGTATGTCTCCCTATTGTGAAGGGATGAACACCTTAATGTACAAATAGCAAAACTCATCTTTTAGTGAGTATATGTTATTTATGAATTTAAGTAGTTTGTATTTTTGGGCGTGCTAGATCAAGTTTAACTAAATGAACATTGTTGTTTATTTTATTTTATTTTTTTAAAAAAAAGAAACAAAACTTAGAAAGCGATTCGGATGAGTCGGTTCAGTTGAATTGTAAGCCTAAACGTTCTATTGTCTACTTCCTAGTAGATGTAGAAATGTGGACAATAAGAACGAGTGTTTACAAGACTCTCAAAGAAAACATCAATATAATCTTTACAAATATTAAACTTTTGGAGGCTGATGGAGCATTCAATCGAAAAGAGGAACACATGATAGAAATATATATGTATGCTATACAAGATTCGTGGTGCAAGCAACATTTTGTGGAAGAACTTATTCACATCAATAATTCAATGAAGGGTGTGTTTGCAAAAGATACTTTTCAAATATAGACAATTATGACGAAGTAAGAAAAGTAAAAGGCGTGAGATTGTTAATTATTCCTCATAATATTCCTTTTTTAGGGCTCAAGTCAAAATGTTACATTTTGCTTGTACCAATCTTATAAAAATGAGAGAAAATTAAAGGTTGAAAAAATTAAAGCAAAGAAAAATAAAGATTGAAACAACCCTTTTACATTTAAATAGAAATTGTGGAATTCTTTGAAAATATCCATCGGATGAATATAAAATTTTCTAATCTGATTAGCTACTCGACATATTTTAGTGATCTTCATCATTCTTCGTGGCTTAATTTCTTTAGTGCATCTTCTTTTGAGTACATATATAACACGGTATTCGTTCTTCAAATTTGCTTATAGATTCAAGTCTTTAATAATTAAACCATTCGATATTATATATGGCCCAATTTAATAAACAATTTCACTATCATCAAGCATCCTTTAAGATTTGCTTCCTTGTCCTCGTTGATTTGAGGTCTGCATACAAGAAAAGTGACATAATTGCAACTATTCAATGTAAGTATTGAGTAATTAGGTCTTTGTTTGGTTCTCATTAAAATTATAATTTATTTTTCTCTTTTTTTCTTTTCAATTACGAATTCTTCAAAAAAAATAATATTCCACGTAAATAAATAAAAATTTCTCTCCTTTTCAACCACTTATTTCCCAAAAAAATTACTATTTCAAACATTACAATACCAAATAATGATGGTTAAACGTGGGCTAGATTGTACTCAAAATAATATGTAAGATTTTTAATTCAATATTCTCGAGAAGATAATTTAGAGAAAAAGTGATATCAACATCTCAACCACACATGAACTGACTCCACAAAAGTAAGAAGCGAAAGAATTTAGAAGGGGCCATTTTCTTCCTTTGTTTTGAAAGTTGAGAGCATGATGCATGGAGTACCAAACATGATATGATCATGCATTTTCTCTCCTAAGATTGCACAAGACATGTTATGAAAGTCATTGAATATCTTGGTAAATACCACTATGTTCAAGTAAGAGGACGGAAAAAGTTATCGATCTTTTCTTTTTTCATGCGCACCGCAAGACAATGACATAGTTGTTAAGTTTCACAAAATAATCATAACACAGCATCATTTCAATAAATAAATAAATAAATATGAAAAGGAAATATCGTTGTTCCAACATTTAATGAAATTCGAACCACTTGTGGGAGTCGATGTCCTACTGATAGGTTGATACATGTGTAACTTTTTTTTTCTTTTATTTTTTATTGTATATGCAGCTCATTTGGTATAACTTTTGCTTTTAGTTTCTGCAGACTAACTTTTGGAGAAAGTTGTTTTAATTTTTGTTTGAAAATTAATTTTTAAAAGAGTTTTATATTTCGAAAATACTTTTAAAGGAAGTCACATTGGACCAACTTTCTCTAAAAACTCTTATAACTAGAAGAAACACTTTCATTAAATTAGTCAAATATATCCAAAAATAGCTGTTAACTTTTCAAAAACTCCTTATATTTTTTTATAAGTTATGCCAAACGGAGCCTTGACATTATATATGATGTTTATGTTCTTGGGTTTATAGCCCAACTTTTGGGTTCATTAAAGGGGTTCGTATATGGGAAAAATTCACAATTTAGGCTTTATCTATCTCAAAATCAAAAATCAGGCCCTAAAGTTTAGAATTGCAAAAATCAGGTTTTTCATGAATTAATTAATTATATTAGATGAAATATTTAACTGTAATATAATGTAATTAACCCACCCCACCCTACCTCCCCTTCCAACAACCACTCCTGTGACCCGCGAGCACTCCGACGACAGTTCTCCGATCACAAATTAAAAAATTTGTACGTCACAGATTATTTCGAGATTACATATCTAAAATTTTTAGGTCACAATTTTTTTATCGGTCACAGATCAAAAATTTTGTAGGTTACAGAATATTTCGATGTCATAGATCGACCAAATAGATGGTCACTGATCACAGATCACAGGTCACAGATTGACCAAATAGATGGTCACAGACACTTCGACCCATCCGCCACACCAGTCCTTCAATCCCAACACACCAACAATACTTTTTCACAGGTCACAGAACAACCAAATAGTTGGTCACATATACTTCGTCCCATTCGCCGCCGGCCTTAATTCCTAAAACACCCACCAACAATAACACCACCAATCACCATCGTTGCCGCCTGAACAGCACCACCGTCATCACCCCATCACAACAGCATCGCAACCACCGCCATAATAATAACAAAAAACAATCGTCCCATCGTCGCCCGCCCCACCACACAGCTTCCCACAGCCACACCCACAGCAAATCCACACAACACCATTGACACCACCTCCACCCCGTCGCGTCCACTAGATCCACGCCAACCCTATCACCCCCGACAACACAGCAGCGTACTGTACCCAACAACACAGTTGCTGTGCCCAACAAAAAAATCCCTATCACCCCCAACAACATAGCTGCTATACCCAACAAAACAACCTCAACCCCCACAACCACAGCAGCGTAGCAGCGTTGACGCTGAGCATCGACGTTGTGATTCGGCAGCAGTCGACGCTACTGTGATTCACAGCAGCGTTTACAAAAACGTCGAACTCTGCTGTGAATCGGCAGGGATGAGAAGCTCCGACAAGGAGGAGGAGGTAGGGAGGAAGGAGGAGAAGGGGAGGAGGAGGAGGAGAGAATCGATGGAGAGAGAGAGAGAGATAAACTATCGTGTGTGGGGGGGTTTGTGGGGGGGATAAATTGATAAATTAGGGTTTTAAAGGAATAATTATTTAATTAAAATGATAAAAATAACCTTTTTTTTTTTAAGATAAAAAATCTGATAAATGAAAAAAAAAACGTGAAAACCTTATTTTTTAAAATGTGAAAGAAAATGTCTGATTTTATGTAATTACCATTTGATAAACGACAACAAAATGCATTACCCAATAAGGTAATAATTCAAATCTTGCTTGAGACAAAATGAAAGATATTGTCGATAAATAGAAGCCCATCTTGTTCGCCCAAAACCTTCCAAAGGCTTGATTCTTGGTTTGACATTAAACCTTACAAAATCATTTCCAAAAAGTTCACATTGATAAGATAACTTGGATTTATATGAAATCAGTGAGAAAGAGAGATTTTCTTTATTACCAATTCAAGTTCGCAATAACTCTAGCTAATGATACACTCTCCAGAAACCCCGTTGTCCTCAGA